TTGGGGTACTGGATCGCGAGATACAGCTAACGGCTACAAAACGGCTAGCCGAAAATGACCGACCGTTGCCATCCCTAATTCCTGGTATATTTAATATAGCAATTAATGAATCAATTAGTGGATAGAAGTATTTATGGTTTAACTCAAAATATCGTAACAAATGAATATATGTTGGTATTTGACGAATTTGGTTCTAAAAGAAATAAAGATAATGGACCATGTGCAAATTGCAAGCGATATAACACATCCTACGCTTGGTGCCAAATATGTGACCTTCAGAAGACAATACAAGGATGGACAAGTGGAAATAAGGATATCGACAATTGCATTATTAACTTAAAGCTACGAAATATGAAGATGTAATCGAATGGATTCCTTTTAATAGTTTAGTTAACGTTCAAGAGAATGGTGATGGATTTTTAACGACGTGGTTAGATGGAATGTGTTATGTAAGTTATGATATGTTAATAATAAATATGAACCATCATGTAAAGCGGAAATTAATAATTTAAAAGTAAGTTTATATTATTTTATTATATCAAATATCAAATCAGACATTAGATCAGACATGTAGTTTATTTAATCTGTATGCTTAATTTGTATGTCAATTAGGGATGGTTAGGTCCCAGTTTTATCAGTAACGTGTTTCCCCAATAAGTGCGGGATCTCCAGGAGACATCATTGACGATGATCATGCCTACGGGACCTGAATATTATGTCAGCATTAGAGATGGGTTTCATGCGCATTTTATCCCATCAAGATTTCTCTCCTCTCGATCGTCTTTTCTTTTTTTTTGCCTTTTTTTTATCATGCGATATCATGCGCATTCATGCGCATGTTATTATAAAATGCGCATTTTCCCATCACTAGTCAGCATCTTATCATTTGTAGACAAAGATTTATTGGAGTCAGGATATTCAATTTTGTTACATCATAAGGTATATACAAAAGCACGTATTTTATTTGTTGTTTTATTAGTCTACTTATTTAACATATACACCTAATAGGCTATGTTTGTTGTCGGTGTACTTCAAGATAATACTGATCCAATGGTTAGTGTTATGAAACTTGAGAGAGCACCTACAGAATCGTATACAGATATTGGTGATTTAGAACAACAAATTCAAGGAATCAAAGAATCAAAGAATCCATAGAATTACTCCTAACACATTCAGAACTTCATGAAGAAATAATAAACCATATTGGGATTAGGGATGGATGGGTTCGGTCACGAACGGTCACAATTATTCACAACCAACTTGCTGAATACTGAAATGATTTTTTACTTTTAAGCTCTTAATTAAAGTTGTTCATAATTAAATTCCGATCATCTTATCTTATGGAAAGAACGATAAATTCTCTGGAACTCGGAATTTCAAAATTTGTACTCATGACCGGTTATGTACCGACGGTTAATAACCGGTCATGCCATTAACATATTTTGAAATTCCAAGTTCCAGAGTCCTTCCACTTATGAGATTATCAGAATTTAATTACGAACAACTTTAATTAAGAGCTCAAAAGTAAAAAATCATTTCAGTTTTTAACAAATTGGCTATGAATGATTGTGACCGAACCCATCCCTAATTGGGAAATCAGTGGAACCAAGCAAATAATTTAAGTAATTTTTTTTTTAACTTTAATTAAAATATCTCAACTATTAAATGAAACTTGATAAAATTTTATTTATTTTAATTCTATATAGTTATAGACTTAAAATAAAAAAAAATTAATCAATCTCGGTTTTAATAGTTGTTGAGATATTTTAATTCAAAGTTTAAAAAAATTTCACTAAAAACAATTTGCTTAGTTTCTATTAACGCACAATATGTTTACTGATTTACAGGATATGATTGGATGCACGTGTTTGACACGCGCGGGATTTTTTTAGAGCCCACGCGGAATTTTAATATGATACCGAAATAAGATTATCTGGCTGGCATTACCATATTTATCTAATTCCTAATTAGATTCTTTATTTATTGCATACCATTTCGCACATATGTAAGGATTTACCTTCTTTGCCGTTGGTATCTTTTGCTTACGTACCAAAAATTTTCTTTATGATTAGGTCACTCTTTTTAAAAATAAATATAGCATGCGTGGTAATAATGATATTTGGAATCATACAAAATTGGACCAGATGAAAGAATTTTCTCAATGTAATTACTGCGATTAAACCTTACAAAAAATACGTGAAAATTCACTATTTTGATTGGCCAACGGCAACGACCAAAAATTTAGGCGAATCAAAATTACATGTTATTTGTAAGAAACATGGCCATTTTATCATGTGATTCAATATGGCTGATTTTTAAGCTAGAGATGGGAAAATCGCGCGGGATTCATTTCTAGGCGCCGCACAAAAAATATGCGGTTAATCCCCAATTTTGATTGGCCAACAGCTGTAATCGACAAAATTTTGGTATGCATTATACATAATTTTGGCCGGAGTTAAATTTTTAATTTTTTAAATGCAAAAATAAAATTTTTTAAGGTTTGGGTCTGTGTAACGTTAAAATTAACACAGGAACATATTCACTTATGGTTGAAAATTACATTTTACAAAATTACAATACATGTAATTTCACGATATATAGTACCAGTATTATGAATAATTTAGCTACATTATTGAACTTCAATGAAGTTTATTGATCAAATCGATACGCATATGATCAAGGCAATCACATTGAATCATATGATAGAATGATCATGTTTTTTACAAATTATAGTAATTTCCAGTCCTAATTTTCACTTAATGAGTAGCCACGATTTCATTAGTAAAAATTCGAGTAATTTTTCCTAAATTTTTGATCGTTGATCAAAATTGTGCGGCAAGGTTTAGTTGCAGTAATTACATTGAGCATGTTCTTGCTTAAAGTTTTCATCTGGCCTAATTTTCGTTAAATGATTCCAAATACAGTCACACCCCTAAGTGTACCACCTTGGGACCATAGTAATAAAAAAAGTAAAACATGCACTTAGGGAGTGTGCACTTAGGGGGGTGTGATTGTATCTTGATTATCATGCATGTTATATTTATTTTCTAAAAGAATAACTTAATGATATTTATATTTATTTATAAGTTAGCTGCACAGCACGTGGTGCTGCACAAGACCAGTACGATCGGTTTATGCATATGCATATGAGTACTCAGGCAAATACAGGATTAACTAGAAGTAAATTGGATTATTTAAATACACTATACTGTTATCTCAACCACGGAACCTGCAACCAATTTAGCAAAGGTCCATGCACTACTACGGTAGGCATAAGCCTATAACAAGATCTTTGCACTGTTACCGCAGCCACAAAGCCTAACTGTCAAGGATCTAGTACTGCTGCTGCTGCCAAATTGTCACAAAAACTAATTTTATACTACTACTCAGAGATAGGCAAATCAAGTTTTCTCCAAAAATCTTGTGTGGGATTCATTAATTTTGATCAGAATTTAATTTTTTAATTTTTAATTGCAAAAATAGAAAATCTATGTAAAATTAGCTCAGGAACATTTCACCTAGGATTGAGAATTACATTTTGCAAATTTATAATTCATATATTTTCATATAAGTTTAAGTAACATGTAAATTTTACATGTATGTGATATAATGTCAGTATTACAAAAAATTTAATTGTCATTATTAAGCTTTAATAGATTTTGCATAAGTTTACTAATCAAATTGATGCACATATGACCAAAGCAATTATATTGAATTATATAGTAGAATGATCACATTTCTTACAAATTATATGTAATTTTGATTTCAGAAATGAATTTATATAAAATTACATAATTTACAGTAATTTTCCAATCCTGATTTTTTTTAATAGGCAGTTATGATTTCTTTAGTGTAATTTTTCTAAATTTTTGATAGTTGCTATTGGCCAATCAAAATAGTGAATTTTTACATATTTTTTGCAAGATTTAATCACAGTAATTACATTAAGTATGTTCTTGATTAAAGTTTCATTTGGTCCAATTTTTGTATGATTCTGGATATTATTATTACTATGATATTTATTTTTAAAAAGAATAATTTAATAATAAAGAAAAAATTTTGATATGTAAGCAAAAAATACTAACAACAAAGAATAAATCTAGTTAAATATATTAATATAGATCAGATATTATATTAATTCTAGCCAGATGTTATGCTAATGCCAGTTAGATAATCTATTTTGAAATTATATTAAAAATCTAGCACATTATATATGCTTCTATTTTTACTACTACCATAGTCATAAAGCCTAATTACCAGAGTCCTTGCAGCTAAGGATGAGTTCAGTCAGATTATAACTAAACATGACTGGTCAATAATCATAACTAATAATGACTTGTCAAAAGCAGTTAACTGACTAGTCAAAATTATTACTGATGCCAGATTTTTAATTTTTTGACTACTAAATAATAATAATAATTGTAGTATAAGCTTATAAAATCATATTGGCAGACCTGCACCATCTGCATTATCTGATAAATAAAAAAACTAATTATTTTTAATTCTGGTTAAATATGCAGATCATTTAGTCAAATCTAAAACAAAACAATTTTAAATCTGATAAAATAAATAGAAGGAACCATTAATGTTGCATTACTGATTCTTCAACTAGTGTGCAATATATAAAAAAATTATTTTACAATACCAGATCATTTTGCTAATACATATTATGATTATAATACTACACCATTTTTATTATAATAAAATAATGTGAGATTATAATTATAATATGTATTAGTAAAATGATCTGGTATTGTAAAATAATTTTTTTATATATTATACACCAGATAAAAAATTAATTCATAAATATTTTTATTAAAAATTGGTCTTTAATTTAGATACAGACTAAGGAAGAAGAACTAAATATAGGCTAAATATAAAAAAATTAAATACTTTTAAAAAAATTTAAAAATTTTATAAGAATTTGAATTTTTAGCTTTAGTTACAACAATAATTATTAAGTATAGTTTTGAATTTTTTTAATATTTGATTGTATTATTTATATAATATTTAATGTTTAGTTTTTTTTTTTATAAATATAAGTAGGAAAAAAAATATAAATAATACAAATAAGAAAAAAACAAAAAAAAACAATTTATATTGCACATGTCAGTAAAAATCAGTAGTTATAAAATCATAAAACTGCATTTTCAATTATTGGTAACACTAATATTTTAAGAATAAGGGCACATATATGCTACTAATAAAACTTTTTTATTTTTTAATTAATTAATAAAAAAATTTTATAATATTATAAATAAAATTATTTATCTATTATAGTAAAATTTTGATATATTGTATTATTTAAAAAAAATATACTTGTATATATAACAAAGTTTATTTAGATAAGTTAAAATTTTCTTAGATAGTACAAAAAAAAAGAATATGATTAATTAATTTATATAAATCTATTAGTTAATTTTATTCTATAATTTTATATTCTAATCTTTAAAAATTCATATCTCAATAAATTTTAATCCTTTTAATAATTTTATTATCATTATAATCAGAAAAACCTACTCTATAATTTTTACTTAATAATTAAAATTAGATTGCTTAAAATAATTTTTCATAAAATTAAATATAAAAAAAATTTACTATTAGATTTATATATAATTTTAAAATACTGCATTTTACTTTTAAGAATTTTTATTTTGGGTCCTCATTCATAATTATTTTTATTTTCCTATTATATTTATATAGAATTTATAATAACAAAATAAATATACAAATTAAAAGTAATCAAAGTTTGCACAAACATTATTCAGCTAATAAACATAATGATACTTATTTACTATAATCAAAATAAGAATTGATTAATATTTAATTGATACTTAATTGTTATTTGAGAGATTTATTAATATTTTATCAAATATCATTATCACTATGTTCTGTTTGTTAATATTCAGATATTGCATAGTAAGTTACACTCAAGCCAAAAATTAAAACAAGATGGTTTACTATAAAATGGTTAGAAATTAAAATAATAAATATATACAATATTTTTTTATTAATGAAATATATTAATTATATAATAAACTTTATTAAACTATAATGTTTATTTAAATATTCATTATAATAATAAACACATTGACCTCTTAGAATATTTTCTGCTAAGTAAAATTTATTTTTCAACAATTTTTAATATATTAATT